GAGATAGAGCGGCGGGTGCTGCGCAGGGTGCTGCGGCAGGCGAGCCGAGATGCGCCGAGATGCGTCGAGAGGAGCCGAGAGGAGCCGAGAGGAGCCGAGAGGAGCCGAGATGAGCCGTGCTGCTGCCGCAGGTGAAGGCCGAGCGCCTGCGACGATTACGGGTAATTCATAACGGTTGATTGATTAGGTGAAGGCCGAGCCTGCCTGCGACGTGGGGTCGCGGGTCGGGCTGGACGCCAAGAGCGCCGAGTGGCTCGCCGACCACAACGTGACGCACCTCTACACGAGGCGAGGGCCTGTTCCCCCCCCCCCTGCACGAATTCAATCTCCCCCAGGTGCAGAGCGAGGTGCGCACGCTCAGCGCGGCATGCCACCGGTCCCTCCTCCCCCTCCTCGGCGTCTGCTTGGCGCCGGCGAGAGCGTGCCTCGTCTACCCCCTCTGCCGCGGCGGCAGCCTCGAGGACCGCCTCTACCGCGCTCCAGCCGCGCTGCAGCGGCTCCGCATGCTCGGCTTCGAGACGCCGCTTCCGCCGCTCTCCGCCGCCGCACGGCTCCGCGTGCTGCGCGACGCAGCGAGCGCGCTGCACTACCTGCACACGCTCTCGCCCATGATCCTGCACCGCGACGTCTCGGCGGGCAACATCCTGCTCGACGAGCGCGGCAACGGCTACCTCGCCGACGTGGGCCTCGCGCGCGCGGCAGAGGCGACGGCCGGCGGCAACCAGCGGGTGTCGCACCTGTCGACGCAGCGCCTCTTCGGCAAGCTAGGGTACATGGACCCGATCATATCGCAGAGCGGGCAGGCTTCGCAGCTGACCGACGGCTACGCGCTCGGCATCACGCTGCTCGTCTCCCTGACCGGCCGCGGCGCCGTCGGCCTCCTCGACGAGTGCGACGATGCGCTGGAGGAGCCCGACACGGCGGAGAGCATCGCGGCGGCCGACGCGGGCTGGTCGGCGGCGCAGGCCGAGGAGCTGGTGCGGCTCGTGGTCGGGCTGGCTCTCGTGAAGAAGAAGAAGCGGATGCCGCTCGCGGAGGCCGCTGCCGCGGCTGGAGGCGCTCGTCGAACCGGCGGGAGAGGTGGAGGAGACGGCTGGGGCCCAGGAGCCCCAGTGTGACCTCTGCTACGACGCGCCCCCGCTCGGCCCGTTTCGCGTGGCGGGCACCCCCCTGTAACTGGCCAGGGCGTGGGCCTCCCCCGCGTGCCTGGAACCCCCGAACGCCAACCTGGCCCCGGCCTTGCCCTCTAGGCCGGGCGCTTGCCCAATCCGCCCGCAACCTGTGGCCGGCCTGGTTGGGCAACCTCCAAAACCA